TTTCGATTCTTTCATTCAGCAACACCATTTTGTTGCGGTGTCTGAGGACAAGTTGTCTCATGGATAATTCCATGTTGTTGGAAGTAAGCCTGAAAGTCATGATTGACAAATTCTCCACCATTGTCTGAGCGAAGAATCTGTATTTGAGCATTGAACTGAGTTTTCATATGTTTGTAGAAGGACTGAAAACGAGAAAACACTTCGTTTTTATTCTTCAACAAATAAAGTCATATCATCCATGTACAATCATCTATGAATGTAAGAAACCACCGAACACCAAAAGGAGCAGTGATTGGTGAAGGTCCCCAGATATCATAGTGAATTAAAGTAAACAGAGTAGTACACTTGTTCATACTCAACAAATAGGGCACACGATGACTCTTGGCCAAAATACAAGTATCACATGTGAAGTCGGAGTCCTTGAAACCTGAGATTAAATCTGGTATAAGATGCTTCATAGAACTAAAAGACGGATGACCCAATTGACGGTGCCACAACTAGATTTGCTTTTGTTTGCTATCAAAGGGATGCTTCACATTGTTAGCCATGCTGGGACTAAAGTCATCTACATAATATATCTTAGTACCACGACCAAGAATCTCCTTAGTGTGAATATCCTGAAGCAAACAAAAACTCAGGTAAATGAGTACACAAAAATTCAATTGTTCTGTAAGCTGACTAACTGACAACAATTAATTGGATAACGATGGAACAAGTAAAGTATTAAACAATGAGAGAGAGAGAGGATGAGAGTGCAATAGTGTCAGCCCCTGTCACAGGATAAGTAACTCCATCGGTGTTAGCAATACAAGTTCGTCGAGGTTGGGTAGTATTCAGAAAATCATCAATATCAAACGTCATAATGATCAGTTGCACCAGAATCAATTATCCAACTCGTGGAATCACTCTTATCCGAAGTATGGAATCCATAACCAATATCATTATAGGTCGTATTGGGTGGTGTTCGATCTTTGAGGGTGGCCCACCATTTGAGGTAGCCATGCAATTTAAAACAAGTCTCACGAGTGTGTCTCGGATCACCATAGTATGCGCAATCTCGTCCATGTGTCGGGGTCGTTAGTTGGGAAGTCATAATTTGTGTAGCGGAAGATGCATAGGATACAAGTTTAGTATGAATCCAAATCAAGGTCAGATTTGAAGTCGGGATCTGGGTCTGAATCATAGACATATTCGGGGTCGGGGACGTCATTGTAGTCGGGGTCGGGGTCAAGGTCGTCAAAATAGGATTCTGATTCAGGATCGGGTTCAAGGTCGGGGTCAAAGTCTACATCTGTAGGAGCTGAGCAGCCTGGGCACTCATCTCAGCTATGGTTGGTTGAGAAGGGGAGAAGGAGTCAGTGGTGCTACCTCCATGAGGGTTGAAAAAATCATCAACCCCCATAGTGGCAATGGGGTTTGGAAACTAGAGTCAACAATTCCAAAATCGCCTCTCTGATACCATGCTAAAATATGAGAACTATGAGAGAATATTTGTTTGTGGGAATTTTTTGTTTATTCTTCTCCTTGTAGGAGGTCATATTTATAATACAATGAAACCTGAATGGGCAAGTAAATAATAAAGGCTTATTTATGGATATGCCCCCTGTGCTTTCAAAATAGTCTCAGATTACCACATGTTCTTTGAAATGTCTCCATATACCACCTATACTTTCAATAAGTGTCTCACGTTAGCTATTCCGTCATATTTGAGAGAAGTTTCGTTAGCTGATGTGGCCCCCACTTCTTTTCCATCTCGTAACAGGTGGTAATTTGACGGAATAGCTAACATGAGACACTTATTGAAAGTATAGGTGGTATATTGAGACATTTCAAAGAACATGTGGTAATCTGAGACTATTTTGAAAGCACAGGGGGCATATCCATAAATAAACCTTTATTTTTTCCCTCGTTTCTAATTTATTTTATTATTAAAATATTTTTAAACTGTTTTAAGTGTAGGGGGCAAAGTGAGATTTTCGGTGAAGCACAAGGGGCATATTGACTCAGTTTCTATTTACAGTAGGAAATCAGGAATTAAAGTAAATCAAATATAATTATAATGGGAATCTTTGATGTGTAAGGAAAGAAAGTCAATGGTCCACAAGTCACGCCAACAAAGTTGACTCGAGTGGAGTTATCTCTTCAACTTTGCATGTGCATTTTCCACTCTGTTGATAACAATAATAAATTCTATGGAAGCAAAATAAATTATAAAATTAACTTATCAAAAGTGCACTAAAATACTCACCTATTTGAGGTTGTCGATCCAAGATGCATACAAGTGTATGTCCATGCTGCCACAAACTTATCCTTAAATATATTTAACCAATTGTCATGTATGTATTCTAGAGCCTTTTGAAATTCACTAAACTTAGACTCAATTTGTTGCAAACAATACTAATATTCTTCCTCTGTTTCTGAACCAGCCAAAATATTCCAATACCCATTAAATTGCTTCCATTGTTTGAGGGTCCTAAATAACTTCTTGCAGTTTGCCAACACTCCTTTGTTAATATGCCATCTACATAATAAATTTCGTGCTTTCGGAAATATATACGTAATATAATTCATAAGTGCTAACACCATGAAGACAATTATACACTCTTCAATATAGTCAAACTCCATGTGTAATTATCTTCCTTCTTGGGATTAATATACACATACGCACCAGAGAATGTCATATTAGTATATGTCACCCCACAATTTCAAATAGTGGGAAACGCTACCTATTAATCTTATAAGTGCAATCCATAATAAGTACATGTGAAAATGCACGAAAAATTTCAATATTAACGGGGTGTGTCCAAAACAAGTCAGTTACAGTATCACCAGATGTCCTATGCCACTCAATATAATTGTGTTCGGACAACTTAGTAAGCAATTGTTGCATCTGTGTTCTCCCAGCAAATTCTTTGGTTCTATTTCGAATCCTAGCATTGAATATTGTCTTCATAGTTGAAACATTCATTGCATCTCTATCCTTCAAGGTGACTAAAATATCTGTGAGTTTCACTAAACTCTTAGATATGTTCAGTGGTGGATCTAGGAATTTTCATTCCGGGAGTCAACATGTAAAAGGTTAAAAAATATTCTATACGACATAGACCCATCGAAATGAAATGATAATATTCTAATTCATAGTTAATAGATAAAACCATACAAAATACTCTGTTCATTTTCAAAGAGAACTGCATCAACTTCAAAAAATAGACACACTGTAATAAACCAGAAATATCTCTAAGAATGTGATAATAAACCAAAAAATTAGTTCAATCCTTTTCACCTTCCAAGGCATCTCGTCCTATTCGACGTAAGAGTTGGCATATATTAGCGCAATTCTGCTCATTTTAGGGCATTTATGTCATTTTTTAGGTCAGGTGTCGTTTTGATTTTGGGCTTTATCTGCATTTCTTTTGAGCTCTAGTTCTCAAACTTTGGACCCTTATGAGTACTGTCTTAGGGAGAGCTTATTCAAGCAAATATTTCTTCAATACGTAAGAGTTAGGTTATTCTTGTAAAACTCTTTGTGGATTGAACATCTAAGGCTTCATGAAAAATTGTTTTATGTAAAAATATTGGCTAAGTATGAAAAATGGTTTTTCGGAATAATCATTTTCTCAAGATAATTTTTAGCAGCTTTTATTCCTTGTACATCAAATAAGAAAACTTGATTTTATGGGATTTTAGTATGAAGTATATATTGACTTAATGAGGCATCATTTTTAGCATAAATCGTAATTTGCACTAAAATCGATTTTTCGTATTTTGATTTGGTGGGAATTTTATTTTCTAGTATTTTTATTTGAATCCAAATGGGGGGGTACTTCTTTATTTACATTGTAAATTTAAGTAAATAGAGTAATATAAAAATAAATGAAAGTAAAAGGACAAAGATATTTACTTAAATGATGAAAATGAAAAAAAGGTAATTTGTACAACATCGTCGTTTTGACGTCTAGAGCATTTCATCAAGCAGTTTATGGACAATTTACAGGGGTCAACATCTTCACCTCCAATGGTGAATTCTGGGCTTGCAGGGGTCAATTAGCCCCTATTCCCCCATGTGGATCCACCCCTGGACATGTCCACCAACAAGGCATTCTCCTCTTCAGAAAGTCACTCCACAAATGAATAACCTTGAAGATACTCCGAAACAGCATGGTTATGTACCGAATAAGTTGTGAATTGATCACTATAGTCAATTGCACATTCTGTTCCAACACTATTGCCTTTAGTAGTAGCGTCACCTTATTTTTGTTCATTTAATAGGAATAAGGTTAAAATAGCTTGTATTAAATTTGTGGTCGACAATAAGTTACTGAAAAAGCAAATATATTTCAGTTTGTCACCACTGAATGATTGGTAAAAGTCGATCATACTTCACCGAAGTCCTTTCCACGTTACTGTGAATCTTTACTGCATCTTAAGTTAACGGCCTATCAAACACAACCGAAATAGGTTCAATATTTCAATGGCATGCCACCGAATTTTCCTGTTGCATTTGGTACTGGTGTGCTACATGAAACCAGCAACAACCATGCAACCCTAAACTTGAAAAACACCAAAAAATAAACTCATACCTCATTTGAAGCCTCTCTAATTTCAGTCTCACCCTTCATGAATAAATACTATATATGTTTTCACCAATATAAGTATATAAACCTTATTAGGGTTGTAGGAACATGATAGTTTGAGAAAAGAGTTTAACTAGGATTGCAGGAATGTATGTGTAATGTAGTAAGTAAATTTAATTTTTATTTTAAACATTTTTTGCCCTTAACGGTAATTATGTGCAAGAGTAAAGTAAATTATCCATGTTTAGAATTAGTATAGGATTAACATAGCAAATAATAAAGTGCAAATAAAATCACCCAAATTTTTAAGGATGTTGCATACGGAGGGCAAAAGTCAAGTAGATACTAGAAGAGAAAATCAAAGCAGAGGATCCAGATCCAAATTCAAGTCCAAATTCAAATGGGATCTATTATGTGCATTCAAACTAACAAAAATACATAAGGATTCCAATAAATAAATGGAGTGCACATATTAATTGAGAAAACTTTGCAATTTTGACTCTGGGCCCATTTCAGACCAAATTACCCCTACCATTTGTTTTATTTCAATACAGACAGATTATCGATTAAATTACCGACTGGATTGCACGTGTCAGTCTGACAACTACATCTGCCACTTAGTGCTAGACTCTAGGGTCTTATGGCCTTCAGTGTGCTAAACCCTAAACCCTACATTCTGGCTACGAGCTTTACCCTAGTTGGTCATATGGCCCCTAAACAACTAGAGAATAAACATTACAGGCTGCAAATTCTCATTACTTGCACTGTATACATAAATACTAAGCCCGAAACTCGCTTAAACTATTTTAGAATGGGAACCTGGGCTAACTGTTGAAGTTGATGAACAACATGAGACATCCTTGGGCGCATTGATGGCACATGTTGCGTACAAGCATAAACAAGGTCCACCACCTTTTGAATCACACCAGCCTCCGGGATATCCGGAGAAGAAGGGGTTATATGAGGATCCAGGAGATCTAGGTAGCGATGAGCCTGCACCAGAGGCGTTGCCCACTCAAAAATACTCTGCCAACCGACTGGATCAACAGCCTGCGCAGGTCTACGCCCACTCACAATTTCAAGCAGCAGCACACCAAAACTATAAACATCACTCTTTGTTGTAAGCTCATTTCTGTAGACAAATTCTGGAGCCAGGTATCCATATGTGCCACCAGCCATCACTGTCCTCTCATGCATCACTTCATACGGCACAAACTTTGAGAGACCAACCCCCATTAGATGTGCTCCAAAATCTTCATCAAGCAGTACATTACTGGCACGGATATCACGATGCACAACATGTGGCTTAACTTTGTCATGCAGGAACCTGTTATAACATATTAACAGGTGAAACACCAATTAAACACAATTCATTGTTCAACATTCAAATCCTGTCCAGACATGAAGCCACACAGTTACAAGCGAAAGCATCATAAAAATTAACAGAAGGACCTCTACAAGAACAAAAACAATGGATGAAACCATTACAATCATAACAATAATGTCCAGCAGGCCAAAAAATTAGAGCCCTTGGGAACAAACCTTGCACTTCATAATGTATTGTTTTTTTTCCAAAACGCCTCTTATCATATAAAATTTAACGAATGCTCATCTGCGATATTTATAACACAGTTCAAATATAATATAGCTTCAAGAAAATTGTCTATGGCTTGTACAAAGTGATTTGAGAACACAGTAAACAAAAGAACTATGGTAACAGGCATAAAGAGGAGACTTGCCTTCAGAAATGTTGCTAACAAGGTCAATTGGACAGTGGTGAGCTTAGAAATTTAGTGAGGACTGAAATTGTTCATTATTATTAGAAATGAAACTATCATATTTTTTTAAAGAATAAGGAAAAAAGCACCCATTGGAAAAATCCACAGAAGCAAGCATCAATCTCAGATTTTCGATGTTTGGATTTACCTAATAAGACTACAAGGGAAAGTGTTGTATAACTTACGCAATTCCTTGTGCAAGAGTTGTTGCAATTTTCATTCTCATTCCCCAATCTAAGCTTCGACCACCCCTAGGTATGTGGTGCAGCCATTTATCTAAGGGCCCGTTAATGATGAACTCATAAACTATGTAGCGATCACCATGATCGTAACAGCAGCCTTTCACAGCCACCAAATTTGGATGGTGAAGCTTTGCAACTCTTCCAATTTCCGAGTAAAACTCCTTTTTCCTTTGAAAACTAGATCTCTTCAACCTCTTAACTGCCACCCTTGAACCATCAGGAAGAAGCCCACTGTATGTTCCTCCTGTCTTGGCATCTCCCAGAAGACGGTTTCCTTCACTAAAGTTCTTTGTAATTGACCTCAGTTCCTCTTTCATGAAGACTTTCCATGATGGAGGGACTAATGCAGTAGCTGCTGGATTGGAAAGTCTGCGGGAACGTCTCCGCTTCTTGCTCCGCTTGTATGCAAGAAGCCAAATCACTACAGCTAATGTTGTGAAGAGAATCAACCCACTTACAACTCCAAGGATGATGAGATATTCTCTGTGGCAATGCATGTGGTAACATCTGTTCCCTGAAAGAAACAGGAACATTAAAATTAGCTGGATAGGCAATGCAAGATTGAAGTGCACAATGACTTGGATGTGACAGAATATATACCTAAATCAACCATGCATATAAAAGCATGAGACATGTTGCATCTTTCAACCAAGAGGGATGTGGATCCATTAGTAACCAATATACATACATCAATAGAACTATTGGTGTGACAAGAGATGTTACTGCAAATGGATTGAAGGGGTTCCCCAGGAAAGAGAGACTCATTCCAATATGAAGTATTATCAGACCAATTCCAACCAAGACCAATAGTAGAGTTGACACCTCTTCCCCCTACCCAGCAGCCAGTGCCACTGATGGTTTCAGCACATAGATTCTGAGCAAAGGCCAGTTCTTGAGATGTTTTGAATGCTGCTAAGTTTCCATTATAACTTTTACAATGGGTTTCTGACTCGTTCCAAGGCTGGTGGCTGCTCATATAACCAAAGCACTTCCGCTTATTGGGTCCAAGAATCCAACCACTGGGGCATGGTGCTGTTCAAAAAGAATGACAATGTTAACATAATAGCTCGATTACAAACTGATATAGACTCTAACGCAATCTATATTATCAACACAAACATTACCAGCATGCTGTAAAAACTAAGGCACATTAAATTAGCTTATCATGGAACAGCATATTCAAACCTTTTAATTGCATGGTATAAACGTACACTATCAGTTTCAGGAGCATTAAGATTATTCTTTTCAACAGGCAAATTATATGTGTGTTCTGGTGCCTTCCATAGCTAAGCTGAACTTCCATATCATAAGTATCCTCTATAGCAGTTTTATGCATTTCAGACCTCAGCCATCACAGTACCAAGTGTTCTATATAGGTAACATAAAATTGAATGCCTTGCTCTTAGTTCTTGTTAAAGGGAGAAGAAAATGATGTGCTTTTTTCATCAGTAAAAGCAATGAAGCATAATCAGCTAGTACCAGACGTCTGAAATGTTTTTGTTTTTGTGATCAAATAACTTTTGTTCAGCACAAAAGACCTTGAAAACATTTTGAAGGCAAGGACAATGGATAATTAGAGTCTACTTGCTCTTGGTTTTCTATTGGGAGCTGTATTAGGATGTTTTTGGATGGAAAAAAAAACTTGAAATTGAGATAAAAGTCAGGATTTCTGAAATAACATATACTAATTAGTAATTTCCTTGTTTGGGGTCATAAGAAAATCAATATTCACATGAAAAAGAAACTTGGGAGTTTGGGAGTCATAAATCCAAACTTAAGATTTCACCAAAATAGGTGCCATTTCTAAACTCTCAAAATTATGAGAGATTTTGAGAAATAAAGCTACAACAACAACCACCACCATCACCGCTGTCATCACTTTGTCATTGTCATTACCACCACCATCCTACATCCACAATCATTGGTTCCATTGCCGCTGCCGTCACCATCATCATTGGCACTGACACCGCCACCACACACACTACTACCATCGCCACCTCACTCCAACCACCCTCTCTGCCTCTAGCACTGCCACCAGCAGCAGCACCACCACTCCCACCTTTATTGCCATCACCAGCATCACTCCCGCCTTTGTTGCCACCACCATTTCCACAACTGTCACCACCACTCATTTACATATATTGATACCTCCATAAAGATAAACTCCAAATTCTGCTATGCTTAACAGGTTAGCAAAAGAAGAAAGTTCATAAATTCTAAAAATAAATTACATCTTTTTAGATTCTGTCGTCCTGAATTCCCTTAGTACTCTTAAACTCCCTCATCCAAACACATCGTTAGAATTCGGAGAGATGCATTTTTATTTTGAATGAGGATAAAATTTACAAAAACCCACACACACAGAGCACCCCTTAACGCTTAACCTAGGATTCATATTATTAAGAAGTTCCAAAAAGAGAGAGATCCAAACAACTCAAACAAAGCACTTATCAAAAGACATTGGTGAAGACATTTAAAAGAAGAAAAAAAAAAGAGACAGATTAAGGAAGCATCCAATGGCAAAGAAACTTTAAAATAATTAGGATAAAGCCAAAAATTGGCTTTCAAAAAATAATTAGGATGGCTCAACACAAAATTTAGCACTTAAAGTTAAAGGGTTACTCACACCTTTACTTTCTTCAGTTCCAGGAGCAACCAATTGCCTATGAATCGACTCATTATATACCTAACGAATGAGAGCGAGGCATCAATAAATGGATCCACAATGTAAATCATCTTAACTCTTCAAGTTGAAAAAATGAAAAATTAAACTACATGGTTCATCATAATTTCTTACCCTATGTGAAGCGCATCCACCGAGCAGAAGGCAAACAATCAGAGGCATAAGCAATTGCAGAGCACCCAGATTCCCCTCCATGAGAACCATGCCACAAACCCTAGAAAGCAAAAATGTATACAAGTGAAATTTCAATTGTTAGCATTACACCTTTTCAGCCCGCGAGCGAACCATCTCAATAATTCTATCTGTAGTCATTTTAACTCTACCGCCATTTCAGACCACCAACCTCTCACTTCAGATGGTCAACCCAACAGAGCAGCAAGGAAGTCCTTGTTCATCTGCAAGAGTGCAACTTGGCACCAAACCACTCTGCGAGCCTCTCTCCCACTCTTTGTTTCTCTGACTCCCTCTCTCTCTCGCTCACGCTCAGTCGTCCTCTCTCTCGCTCATCTCTGTCAGAGTCTCTTCGTATCCGTCGATCACTTATTTTCCCCTTCTAATTTGACCTTTTTTTTAATCTAACTTTCAATTGGATCCGGATCTTCTCTGCTCTGATTATGCTTTACTTTTGTTCTCTATACGCCACCTCATTAAAATTTAATCTAATGGCTTAAAAATTGACACATCATCCTTCAAACAAAAACCCAATTTACTCCTAATATTAAAAAAGAAAAAAAACACCCTAATCAAACTAACTGCAAAGTTTAACATCATGTCCTCTTTCTTCTCTTCCTTCTTCATGTCTCACGTCCTGTTCTTATTTTTTTCCTTCTTCATGTCTTTGTAACAAATCTTATCTCTCACACCAAGCTTTCCTTTCTCCAAAACCTCTGCAATGACAATCCCTTCTTTTTCCCCCATCAAAAGAAAATTCACGTTTTAAGAGAGGGTGTGTTTTTGTACATTTGAATTACTATTATCGTAGGTGGTGGGATTTTTGCGTTTTTGGGCTTTATGGTGAAGTGGCAGCCTTCTCCGAATTCCAGTAGCCAAATTTGTGATGAGGCTTCCAAATCTAATGCCTTTTGTAATTTTTTAGATAGTTGACATACTTATTCATTTTTAACCATAAAAATCCAATATGTTTAGAAAGCTTCTTGAGAAACAAGAAAAAGAAGAATAAATTCTTGTTTTTCATTTCTGGGTAAAGCCAAGTATGTTTGTCACGGTGAGAGATGAGATTTTGGGGCACAGTCAAGAAGAAGGAAAAAAAAGGACAGGAAGAGGAGGGCGTGAGACAGGAAGAAGAAAACAAAAACAAGACGTTAACTTTACCGTTAGTTGGATTAGGGTTTTATTTTCCTTTTTAAGTAGGAGTAAATTGGATTTTTGTTTGAATGATGATGTGTCAATTTTTAAGTCCCTTAAATTAAATTTTAATGAGGTAGCGTATGAAGAACAAAAGTAAAGCAGATCATGGCAGAGAAAATCAGAGCAGAGGATCCGGATCCACCTTACTAAAGGGAACCTACGGATCTGCAAAGGGAACCTATGAATCTGCACACCCAAAGAATGTGATTAGAGGTACAAATGAGGAGAAATAAAATGAGGAGACACAAGTCAATGGTTGATAATCATATGTCAAAGTCAACGGTCAAAAGTCAACATGTTGACTGAAGCAAGTGACCAAAGTCAAATAATTTTGACCAGTTCAAATTGCATAAGATTATAATTATAGTTTAATAGTTAAATTATAATTAAAAGATTAATTATGGAATTAATATTGATATTTAGAAATATTGAATTGGGCTTTTAAATATGATTTAAAAGGAAATGGACAAAATAGCCCAAAAGGCTATTGGACCCAAGGAATAAAGTGGCATAAGATGACATGACCCATGGAGCAAATGGAGTCCCAAATACCCACCCAAAATTCGACACCGAAGGGGAAGCTCTTCCCTTGCTTTTTTGTGTTGTCCTATATAAGCTAAGTGTTGGAGAAAACCTAGTTAGAGTTTTTGGTTTCCTACTTTGGTTGATGAGTGATCATCTCTCATCTTCCATAAACCAAAAATTGGTCCAATCAAGAAGTAAACTAGCATCCACACTTCTTGATTGCCTTCTCTTCATCTCTAGGAGCATTTGGTGTGGTAAGGTAGAGGTGAAGGAGTCAAAATCAAGAGAAAGAGAAGACATTTCCAACAAAGCTGTTTATTCTTGAGAAATCAATAAAATGTCATCAAGGGTAAAAATATATTCCCTTTTTCCCTTTTCTATTTGTGTTCAAAGAGACTAGGCTAAGATACTTGGTTTAAAATGAAAAAGGTTTAGCTCAACTAGTATAAACAAAATGAATCCGCCATTTAGAATGTTTTTGTTGTATATGTTGTAGCTAAAGTTCATTTCCTAAGCATTAGATTCATGTTTCCTTCAGGATTAACATGGTGGAATATAGAGAACTGTATTTAGAGCATAACCAAAAAACTATCACAATTACCCCAACATTTTTAGTAGAGTATGGTTATTTAGGTCAACTATATATTGAAAATAATCATCATTTAGATTCATTTTCCTCAAAATTAAAAGAAGTTATAAGATTTTATATCTCTATCTGGAAGAACGTAAAATTAGTTTTCACCAGCATACCTCCAGAGTGGTTTACAAATAGTATTTACTCAGATAGAGCACAACATATTATTATTATTTCTCTTAATGAACTACTTAGTCTGGCAAAATCCGTAAATACAGAGATCTCCACCAAGCAAAACATTGAAAAATACAGAAGAGCAACAATATATATTCAGATTTATTCAGAGACTACATCACTCGCCAATCCAACTTTATCAAGATTTATTTAGTCCAAGAGACCAGATGACACATATGAATTCAGGATAAGCAAAATAGGAGCAAAAGTTTTTTTATGAAATCTATAACCAGATAGCGAAACAAATTGAAGTAGAAGATAACGACAACTTATACTAGAATAACTTAGGAGAAGAAGAGCTACACAATATAAACAACATATTAGAAGCATAACTCTATGTGACGCTCTCATGATAGCAGAAACATATCAACTTCATTTCACGTGAAGGGATCATCCCAGTAACATAAGATGGAGTATCAGTACAAAATTTATCAAAGCAAGATAATCCAACTCTTGGCACCATATGGCAAGCAAGAAGCAACACCTTTTGACACCATTTGAAAAGTAGAAGGACTCCTTAGACAATCTAAAAATGAATAAGGACATTATTGTCCAAACACTAAAAATTTGTCATTCTTAATAAAGACATCCCTGTTATAAAGTAAAAAGTGAAGTCCACATAAATAAAGCGAGGGGGTATTAGTCAAAAGATAAAATTATAATGTTGGAAAGAAATCATTATGTCTCCCTTAAGAGCCATTTGCTTTGCCTATAAATAGGCATTATATGTGCTTGTAAACACACACGAATGAGAATAAAAGAGAGTGAGAGCAAGAAAAGAAAAGAGAGAGTGAAGTCTATCTGAAGAGAAACTATATTAGTGTAAACACCACAAAGAGCAAACATAATTCCACTCCCAATATTTAGTGGTACTTCCTATTCTCTGATTATTTTATTTTATAACACGTTATCAGCACGACAGTCTCTCCACCTTTAAATTTTCTCAGCTCAACACTATGTGGTTATTTCTCTTTCTCCTCTCCGTCATATGTCTCCTCTCACTATACTACTACGACGACATGCAAACTTTCTTTTTTGTGCTCTCACAATTTTTGTATTGTTTCATCCATGTTTGTTTAATTTATTTTTTTGTAATATAATTTGGAATGGCGCGGTTTTATACCCCATTCTGTTATTTTATGGTGGTGTAATTTTCATTACCCATCGCGTTGTAACACAAGTTATCATAATAAAATGATGGTGTGATCTTAAAACCCATCTATTATATATAAATAATGGTGTGATCTTAAAACCCATCTATTATATCTTGAACAGTGGTGCAGTTATATTGCCTACAAAATATAATATATTTTTAGTGGTGGTTTTATCCCCACATTTACTATGGACGGTTTTTCACCTCCTATATTTTTAGTGGTGGTTTTATCCCCACATTTACTATGGACGGTTTTCACCTCCTATATTTTTAGTGGTGGTTTTATCCCCACACTTATTTTATTTACTGTATGGTGTAGGTTTATTACCCATATGACAATATTTATTTAAAGTGTGGTGCGGGTTTATCGTCCACACAACTGCTTTTATTTAAAAGTATGGAGCAGGATTAGTGCTCATACCAGCACGTTTACTTTACCGCACATTTACTTTTATTTAAAGTATGGTGCGGGATTAACGTCCATACAGCAAGCAATTTACTTTGTGAATTTACTTTCCGAACATTTACTTTTATTTAAAGTATGGTGCGGGATTAACGTCCATACAACAACCAATTTACTTTATGAATTTACTTTATCGCACATTTACTTTCATTTAAAGTATGGTGCGGGTTTATCGTCCATACCAGCAAATTTATAGCACTTTATTTTTATAATCAAAATGAGGACCTGGAGTTCCTCAAACAATTACAGGGCCAGAAGTTCCTATTAATAAATGGCTTAATGTCCCAGATCTCGAGCTTGAAATTTTGGGTAAAATATGCATGATATCTTTTGACCTGAAGTTCAAAAATATATTAAGCTTGAAGATTATTGCGAATTCTAATGCATCTCATTTTTCTTTTGAAGATGGCAAATTTGGCAAAATTGGAATTCGCTACCCTAGACATTTCTGGGGACAACTACCTATCATGGGTCTTGGATGCCAAGATCCATCTGCGTGCTAATGGCCTTGG